CCGGGGAAATTTAAAAGAATATTGTTGTCACAAAATTGACAAGAGGTAAGGAGGTATCCGATTGATATTAAGGAAATGAAGCATTCACGAATTAATAATTTTCTTGGAATTATAGAATTAGTGAATTACTCAAGAAGAACAGTAAAAAGCGGTTGAGAAAACGTCAATTACAAGCCAAAGCCGAAGCTGAGGGTGATTTTAGTTACTTAAAAAAGAAGACCCCGCAAGCGCCAGTGATAAATGGCCATCGGCAACCTACTCTCCCTAAGGTTGATGATAATTCCCTTCTTCCTCCATATCCTCTGTCGCAAAAGCCAACTCTTCCAGAACCAGTGAGAATGAACCTCCCGCCACATGGTCAAAATTCTGCTGGTTTACAGGGCTTGCAAATTAATCGCTCTGACACAAATAATCATCAGCCTTATAAAAATAACGCAAAGGTATCTTACCAGTTACCTGGATCTGAATACCCGCAACACCCAAAGCGTCCGCAATTTTACACCAGAAAAACTCCTGCTCCTGGAATACCACAACGTGGATATAATAATTTAGCAGCAATGTCAGAACCTATTCCCCAAATACACGTCACGAGGTCGGAACCGACTTCCCCGATACATTCAGCGATATCAGAACCTATACCCAAATTATACGTCGGGAGATCAAATCATGTTCCTCAAATAGATGTCGCGAGATCAGAGCCTATCCCTCAAATCGATGTCACGTCTAATCCCGTTCCTCAAGTAAATGTCGCAATGTCAGAGCCTATTCCTTTAGTACCCCAATCTATTCCCCAAGCATATGCTACAAAGTTTGAACCTGTTTATCAAGCAAGTATCACGACATCACAATCCATCCCCTCCATCGAGTTGCAATCCACTTTTCAACAGCAAATAAAACCAATAGAAGCGTCATACGATTGTGTAGACATAATTGATAATTATCATAGTTATAGCAAATCTGGTGTCAATAACTATAATAATCATGTTAATAATAATTACCCCGATAAAAATAATTACAATTACAATAGTAATAATTATGCCGAAAATAGTTTTAACAATTATAACGGTAATAATTATACGAATAATAATTATAATAATTTTAGTCAGCCTATAGTTGATGTGGAGCGTCACCACGAGAACAATTTTACTTCAAGTTCGCAATCACATCAACTGCCAAACCAAACGGCGCTACCAGTTAACCAGTCGATGTATGATTATACGCAACAACAAGGAAGTAGTAAAGTAATAGAAGAAGAATATTATTATGCACAATGATTGTGAGCATGTACAGTAATTATTATTATTTTCACAAGATTAATTATTTATTTATATTTAAATTAATAAACAAAATCCCCTATCTTTCCACGGTATGTAAACAATACAATATTAATAATTAAATCTATCATAATTTATTATTGGTGGCAAAGAATTTTGATGTTTGAGCAAGATAATGTCAACAACAAAATATCGTGAAACACAAGAGATCAAAAACTTAAATTTTTATCAAGATCCATTCGCAAGGGATAACTCAGAGAAACAAAAAGAAGACATTGACAGGTAATTTGAGCACCTCAGGCAGAAATGTCCAGATCACAAACTCTTTAGAAACATCAACTGGAAACGCAAGTGCTTCACATCCATTTTGAAACGATATCGAAAGGGTTGTGATTACCAGGAAAGATCGATTCTACAGATTTGTATACGAGCTTATCGAATGAATTCTTGGCAAGAACAGTACAAAGATCGTGGTACTCGGTTCGGACGTCAACATTGATGACACTGAATTCAGATATAATTAATCGTTACTACTTCACGGCAAGACGCAATGGGCTCAGATCAGCTGGAAGGTCATTAAATACACTGAAGAGTATATATCAAAGACATATGGGTATTGTGGATTCATGAAAAATGATTTGGTGGATTAAAAGCGTTTAAATGTGATTCGTGCGAGGTGGAAACGGATCAGGACGCGAATGGTGCCAGAAATATCTTGCTCAAATATTTAACGGAGAGTACTAATTTTAGGACTTGAATGTGAGGGGTTTATTGATTCTGTCTGACTCGATTCTATCTATCCATACTGGCTAAAGGATAAATCCAGGCCATTAAATAAAACAAAACATTAATTTGCTTTAATACTCAATACGAAATGCATCCCTTGCGTCATTGGTACAGATATGTACATGGTGCATGTAGAGTGAAATTTCCGGCTATATATGTGGTTTATAATACGTGATCTGCAAATTCGTAATTTTTACTACGTGACTATCACGTGATTAAAATACGTAAGATATCTTTTGCATATAAGATATGTAAGACGTGTAAGATTACGTCATATACACAAGCGAACGCGTTATCTCTAATATAAATAGGTGAGGTTTAATGTTTAAAAAAAAAAACAACCTTTCCTCTCCGACTCTATGACTAAGAAATCCCTTCTTCTATACCTAAAGACCTCTTTTTCTTTTTCATCCCTTTTGCAATCTTAGTCAAAAAAACCCCCCCTATCCCTTTATCACATTTCTAAGTCCATGTATGGGCGAGTGACGCGTAGCTTTGTATTTCCGG